CTGTTTCTGCTGTAGACGCCGATTCGACATCTGCATGTATTTCTAAAGAACGGATATACAAAGAGGAAACTGGACAGTGAATTTTCGAACCCTGGCTGCAACTCGATGAAGTCGTGTCATCACAGACCTATGTTAATTTTGTCATGCATATCCCATGAATCTGAGCCAATAAGAAGATACTTCAACAATATTGGATTAAGTGTATATTACAGAACAGGTATGAGTGTGAGGATTCTTCTATTCACGAGGTACACCCGGAGCAATGAATACGGTTTACAGTGTCGAATGTGGAGATTGCAATAAGATATGCGTTAGAAAGAATTACTGTAAATTTAATACCCGGATTAAAGGACACTTATCTGCAGTTTGCCTCAAATAGATTGATTACTCTGGCATTTCCGAAGGACACTGGTTCAGTCATGAAAATATTTGTAATCCACAAAGACCGGTCAAAGCCTAATCGTTTAATAAAGAAGTCCCTGCATATTTTGCAATGAATATTTCTCTTCTATGGTGGTAATTTAAAACTGGGGTGCATTAGGAAGTTGATGAGAAAATTTTAAACGTTGAAACGAGTGGCAGAGATTAAACTCTATAATTGAAGGTTATGAACATGATGTCTAAAATCTGGTGTCCATCTGTCACTCGAAGTTAAGGTATTTTGTTTATGTCCGGCGTCTAAATATCTGATAATCAGCTGTACTTTGGCGGTGCCAAGGTGGTACGTGACGAAACGCGTTGGTATTAAGTGTTAACGTCCGCGTTATCTGCTGCCTTAAACTATAAACTGGCAAATTATATAATTGACAAAAGACGGTACAGTGATTGATTGATCTGCTTTGTGTAATTTATGACAAAAAACCAAGCAGTTGCAATCCTAATTTATTATACAGGACCATTGTTTGAAATTTTTGCCTAAAACGATCTCCGAAATAGCAACAGTACAGCGTGACAGGGCGCTGGGGCCAGTACGGTAAGGGGGCATCGTCGTCCACGTAAGCAGCATATTCAAACGGCTCGAGCTAGACGCGGAAGGTGATCAGAAATCCAGTGATCATGCTAAAACCAACTAGACCCTAAAAATAGAAAACTGACTATTCATTATTTGTTTATGCTTTACCTTAATGAGGGTGTTAACGGTGAGGGTGGAACTTAGGCCGACCGCAATCCCTGCCTGAAACAAGTTCATGCTTTGAAGGTAGAACGTGCTAATCGTAAAGCACTAAAACAGCATCGATCAGCTCGTATTCCTACATGTACCTTTTCTTTACTTCGTGCTCCCAGTGTAAGCTGGTCGCGCTAAGGTAGTGGATGCGGTCGAATATGAACCGAACCTGAAAGTACGCGTTTTCAGTCGTTAAGAATACATTGTGCTAATCAATCCTAATTATCTTCCAGTTTTCTTACTGTTAGAGAATAACAACCGTAAAAAGCTATTGCCCATGTCTACCCAGTTGTGAATACGCTGTATGATTTTAGATAATATCTGAAGGAACCACCGTCTGCTGAAAGCGATTGAAATAACAACCGAACATCACCACCGGATTTACCTTGAAGAAGGTCTGAGAGGCGGGCTGAAACATCCGGATCAGTTCATCACCCAATTGAGAACCTTATCGAGTACTTACCTGTACTTTTTTTATCTATGCTACAGACAAATCCAAGCTAAGGTAAATTCGGATTAAACTATCCTGAGAGGGTTACAGAAAAAATTTAGTTATCGCGTCTACATTACTCGCTCGCCACCAAACAGCGGTCTTCCGACAATCTGAAGACGGACCGAGCTTGGTCCGAAACGTCAGATGTCCCAAATTAAAGACCATTTTACGCGCTGTCTTCCCGCTGACTTACCTAAAGATTACCTATACTATACAGTAATTATTTGCATTTATACTTACATCTTGAAATCTATCTTGTGCATATATGCTGTATACGTATTAACGTATTACTGTAAACACGTTAGCAGTAGAACGTGATTAGCAGGTTAAACAGGAGTCCTCGTTTACATATAGAAAAATATTTTCCACAGTTTCAGTAAATTCTGTATGACCGCTTCTATAGTCTTCTGTTCTGCCATAAAATCAAATTATTTTTACGTAATATCTTCGTCCCGCTTCCTAAAAGGAGTCATCTTTCTTTCTGCCGCTTCGTTTTTTCTTTGTTTCCTTAAAACAGAATTTCCTCTGCTTTTGTAGCCAGACATTGCTGTTAGAAAAACCTAGTTTCTATAAATGAAACCTATTTTCTTTCTTTCAGTGCTATGGTGAAGCTTTTTTGCGGCCATGCTCAGCCAACGGATGGTAAAGGATTGCCTCCTCACTTATGGAAGCATAACTATTCGTTTACTGAGATGAGACTTCTTTTTCTAAATAACTAACACTCCTTTCTTAACTTTTATGTACATATATTAATGCTCTATGTGTGTGGTAGTGTATGTGCTCAAATATCATAGAGCTGTTAATGAATGCACATTGTCCCCCTCCCCCTACCAGGCAACGAGGAGCGAAGTGGTGGTGCAGTCTTGGGAAAGTTATGTACTACAATATTTCCATCTCCATATATGAAACTTCTTCCTTCCCGTTGAGCGGTTGTCTGAGTTTCACTACAGCAATTGCGTTTCAGCCACTTTAGTAAAAGGAATCATTCGTTGCTGTGACGTGCTCATTAAGGTGGATAACGCCGAGGCCAGATTCGAACGTCTTCTGATTGTCAGCGCTGATGTTTCGCGGTTCATTTCATGCAACCGAATGCGTCAATCATTAAGTTCGATATCAAAGCTAAGCCATGGGGAAATGTAGTACGGTCCTGGTAGAAAAAATTACGCAAAACATATGGTTCAAAGCAGTGGTTGACGTCATATACAACCCGCTTTACGTTTCCAATCCGGTAGAAATCACAAGTTGCCGGTGTCAACGAAGCGAATAGTTGCTCATCGACTAGTGAAACCATTTATGGGAAGGGAACAGCGGCTTTGATTCTTGTTAACATGAGCCCTCATTCGTTCCAGTTACTTAAATCATCCAGCAAATAGACAATGGGAAACCACTGAGCTCACCATCAGCATTTCTACAGCTTAGGGTATAAATATTTTATTGTGTTCTGTAGCATTTGTCGTTATGCGTAAATTTCATGATCTCGCTAAAGACCGGATTAAAACACGTCCATTTATATGCCATAGCTGATCTGCAGCCATTCTTAGTCTAGCTGATCCTTCACTAATACGATTATGAGACAAACAAAACGACGTCACGTGCACCGCGCTTACCTTTGCCTTCAAACACGTGGACAACGAGGCTAAGAACAGAATTTCTATGAATGCAAAGGAGGTGGTGGTGGCGGCAAATATGGCGTCGAACAGTTCTACCGGCTGAGACAATAGCACCAGTGTGTTCAGTTGAATGAGGCTGGCGTCGAGCACCAGGGTGGCAGTGTTGAACGGCTGGTACGATTGATTGAGGTACTGCAGAGTCTGCCTCAACTTGCCGTGGATTCCGAAGTAGTGCCGTTGCACGGCCAACTGATTGAGGTTCACGTCGTTGACGAGGTCTATGTTTAAGCTCAGGAACTCGACAAGAATGATGACGTAGGTGAGCGCCATGAACGTCTTGGCGACGATGCAGCAGATCTCGCTGTAGACGACGATCAGGAACGCGGCCAGGTTCAGGTTCGGGTCGACGAACAGGTTGAACGCCACGCCCGGCCAACAGGAGTGGTTCCAGGCATAGAACAGCCCGAAGTAGGCGATCCAGCCGAACGTCCACACGCTCACCGTCGTGAACATCACCAGTCTCGTATTGCGGATCAGCGAATAGTGCTTGGCGAGGCCGGCGCCGAGCGTGTTGTTGTTGATCTGGTTGATGAAGTTGCCCAGCACCTTCTCGCGCTGCCAGTTCAACAGAATGTACAGGCAAATGGCTGACTGGAGGCTGGCCACCGTCTGGTCGAAGATGTGCATCGTTTGCACGGACAGGTCCAGTCGCCAGAAGCGCGTCGT